AGCCCTTAGCGAAAATAGAAGCATAGCCAGTTTGGATAGATGCTATAGCGTCTCACCCTGGCTTTTTGCAGGGCATGTACACTGTTCTGTAAATAAATTCGTATCAAGTCAAATCATATCAAATCTCTCTATACTATACTATATACATTAATTATTTCTTTTTTTATTCTCACCGAGGCTGGTCAATATCACTGGGTTACAACAAAGTGAAATGGACCACGCAGAGAGGAAATATTTATACAGTCTAGTTCACCAAATCAAAAATCTTTCGGGAGATATTTAAAAAAAAAAAAAAAAAATAACACACACACACAGATATTGAGCCTTATATAAACACCACCTTAAGTAAACACCTAACACAGTAACGCGTGTATAGACTGCCAGACCTTTATATAATTTTTTGCAAACTTCAATCATACATATATATCTTTTAATATAAGGCAATTTCCTCTTCAACATTTCTTGATGGCAATAATTATAATACCAAAAAAAAAACTCTCGTTCCATACCATGATGATAATGATAATAATAATAATGATGATTAAAATAATGATAATCCGACAAATACTACTACTACTACTGATAACAATAAGATGAAGAAAAAAAGAAACAGTGTGCTAATTAAACAAATAAAGCTTTCTGATAATTGTATTAATTATGCAAATTGAAAAAAATACATCTATATATATCAATATCTGTACGCCCTTTTTGAGTATTCTCATTTCAACTATACGCACATTAACTAACATACATACAAAATGAACGCAACCACATACGCACACATAAATAACATTAACATAAACCACATTCCTTATAAGACAAGTACTAAAGAGATTTGCTTGTCCACCGTAAGACAGTAATGTGCACTTACTTCTGTCGCACGCACACAACCGCGCACGCACACAAAAAGCGTTTAAACACCCATAAATAACAAAGACAGAGTGTGTTTGCCGTGTAAAGCAAGTACAAGAACAGATATCTTTTTCATCGCAAGAAACGAACGAGAGAGATTTTCAGCAATGCACGTTTTTTTTTCTCTTTAACATACGCACAACACTATCTAAAGTACAGATACCTGCGAATACCTATGGATTCATTACAAAACAAACACAGAAGGAGCTTGTAAAGGCATGAAAAAAAAACATTACACAGCACATTCCACCACGACGCAAGCACAAAATAAAAAGATATCAGAAACTATACACAGTTTCACACAACACAAACTTACATACTTTTTGCCGTGTAATGCAAGTGCAAGAATAGATATCTTTTTCATCGCAAGAAACGAACGAGAGAGATTTTCAGCAATGCATATTTATCTCTTTCACACACGCACAGCATTATGTAAACTACAAACACTTATGAATACCTATGGACACGCTACGTTAACAAATCAAGCACAAAAGGAACTTGTAAATACATAAAAACAGTAGCACATTCCTGCACGATATAAGCACAAAATAAAGATGTCATGTATACATATTTTTCCACAACACAAACATACATACAAATAAAACAAAAAACATGAATTCTTACTAATAACGAAAACAGTGAACACATACTCGCGGCAAGCAAGCACAATATAGAACTTTTTCCCCCGCCAGAGAGAGTTAATATCTACGACACACATAATTTTACAACACAGTTCAAACACACACACAAAACAAAACAGGAAAACCAAAACCAAAAAATGAAAGAAAAGAAAAAAAATACCACACAAAGGCCTACGAAAAAAACGAACGAAAGCAGAGCAAGCATTCACGACCAAAAGACAAGCACAAAATGGACTCTTTTAAAGTTTCCCCATGGCAAGAGAGACCGAGGGAGACTTCAACCGGAGGAAACACGCTGTTGAGACTCACCATTCTTGGCTGTCCGAGGTTCACCATCTTCGTAACATACTCGGTACTTCCTTGGCGAGTCACTTTATCACGTGCATCACTGACTCGATTAACGAACATGAAATTTACAACGAAGATATTGGGGTGGGTGTGTGGGGTAGGGGGGGGGGGGTTATCTATATATATCTATATCTCTAATACAGAATGAACACAAAGGCAAATAAAATCACTGCAACTTTTTCTTCTCAATTGGATGAGCTGTTGTTCTTTTCAAATTCGATTTTCCTCTTTTCTTTTCTTTTCTTCTTTTCTTCTCTTATAATAACTGCTTTTATTAATATTAAGATCAATCTTCCAAATATTATTTACAAATCACTTTTCGATCGCAAAACCGACACCAAAAATTACTCTCCCCCCCTCTTTTTTCTCTCGAATTCACTTCACACAAATTATAAAAAAAAAAAAAATAGATCAAAGCATCCGTGAGAAAAAATATATATAATACCAAACGAGTTTCACATACAAAGGAGAACGAACACACTCCAAAGATATTATTCTCCTCAAATCTCGCTTTTTACCGAACGAAAGAGACCGAGGCGTGCTGAGGGGGTTTCGAGCGAGCGTGTGGCTGACCGCGGACGATGAGAGACAGACACCCT